TTAGATTGTTGTTTCTAATCATTCCCTGAGAGGCCTTTTCCCACAAGCAGGCACCCTTGTCTCTGTAAACATCAATCAGTATCAGCTTTGAGATTGTTTAACTGTCTGATGTGCTTCTTATGGCAAATGTGATATGCATTTAGCAAATATCTTTTGAGCCATGTACCATTTCTTTGTGTCTCTCATGAAGCCTTTGCTTGAACTAACGTGCTACAGCTAAGACTGGAATGTTCTGCTTTGCGATTTTCGTGCCTTAAATGCTATTAATACAGCCTTATTAGCACTTTCTGCAGCTCCGCAAAGTTTGCAGGATAATTGGCTTCTAGCTATGTATCTAACTTGTGGTTTTATATTGCCGTCCAGCACTGTCATCTCTCGTCACCTTCCATATCGTCAGAGTCTTCAATATAATCACTACTGACAAACCTCAATACTGGGTTCTATTTTTATGCACAGTGGCCCTGCATCACACACTGGGCTACAGAACTGGCTCACAATGCTACACCCCAGAGCTGAATATCTTTGGGTGACAGAACTCTCCGACTGAATCACATGACAGCCCTTTGCATCCACTCAGTGGTAGCAAAATTACCAAAGCTTAGAAGATCAGGAGCCGCGTGAGGACTGCTCAAGGCAAATATTTCACGTAGTGGTAGCTTTGTGGTTAACTAATACATGGAACTGTGTGCAGCTGCTGTAATCCAGGAGAGCGCTGGCATAGTGTGTTTTTCCCCCCCATGCATGAGGAGCAGCCATATACTTTCAATCAAGATTAGTTTCTTTTTTAGATTAAAGATAATAAGAAACAAAGAGAAAGAGGAAAAAAGGTAAAATCTCCCTGTTTCTCATTCTGGAAGAGCCTTCACCTTACAGACGCCTTAGAGTTGCAGCACACAGAAACAGTCGTGGCTACGTGCAGCCCAATAGACATTACCCCTTCCGGACAGATCAACGGAACATGAAAGCGATCAGTGACGTTTCTGGCTACTGCTACAAACCACGTGGCTGTCTCCAACAAATATACCTGTAGCAAAAACCAGCATCTGTCCTGTAATTCTGTCACACACAGGATTCTATGTGGGCAGACTGGCCATCACAGCCCTGGTTAGCTGATGAGACTTCTGGGAAACTCCAGTCTACCCGTCACAGTCACTTTACCTCAATGCTCAACTCAACTTGCTCAGCGTTTTCCAATTCCAGCAGTGGGTTTTATGTCTTTTGCCTACGTCCCTTTCTTTCTGTAGCTAAACGAAAAAGAATTAAACAAAAAACCTGACCCATCTGGCATCAAACACTGCGTATGCTGAGTCCATTCAGTGAAAACTCTACCATTCGAGCTAGTCCCTTAATATTCTAAAAGCTGTTTCAAAGCTGTGTCAGTCTTTTCCTAAACTTGGAGCAGTCGGCCTGGGGCTGATGCAATGTGAGGCTCTAAATTACTCCCAGACATATTTCACTATATAGCCATTCATCAGGAGTTTACTTCTAGAGCCATAATGACCCAAATGGAAGTGTCACCCTCCCAGCTAAACTGCATCTGCTCCCATTTAGTGAAATGAAGAATGTTAGCACACGTGTCACTGCAGTAGTTCTGACAGGTTGCATGCCCCCTCCATTTCTGATAGGGCTATGTTTAGTCTGAGACGGGGCTGGTGAGTTTGTAAGCAACAAGGGAAGATTTCCGAGTCATGCTCGGGAGAACTGGGAGTAACGGGCAGCTGCGGTGGTGACCCACACGCTATGTGAGTGAGACACATCTCAAGTGCCTTAGCCAGCTAGAGGATCTGCTGCTGTCAGAAATACTTTAGTCCTCTTTGAGGGAGCAGCATAACGTGCTCCGCGCCTCTTTGCCCTAGCTGTCCTCAGGCACCCAGCCACGCCCGACATAGTCATAGATCTTAAGGCCAGAAGGTAGCATTCTGACTATCTAGTCCAGGGGTTCCCAAACTTGGTTCATGGCTTGTTCAGGGTAAACCTCTGGCGGGCCGCGAGACATTTTGTTTACCTGAGCGTCCGCAGGTACGGCCGCTCGTAGCTCCCAGTGGCCGCGGTTGGCCGTTCCCGGCCAATGGGAGCTGCAGGAAGCGGTGCGGGACGGGCCACTGCTTCCCGCAGCTCCCATTGGCCGGGAACGGCGAACTGCGGATGCTCAGGTAGACAAAGCGTCTCGCGGCCCACCAGGCGCTTACCCTGAGTAAGCCGTGACCCAAGTTTGGGAACCCCTGATCTAGTCTGACTTCTGAGATGCCACAGGCCAGAAGATTTCACCCAGTGGTCCTACTTCAAACTCATAACTGCTCACTGAGCCAGAACAAGTTCCTTTATGAGAGTTTCTGCTCCCCTTAGCTGTGCTAGGTGGGTAGGGCATGGCACACCTGGTGTGATAATTGGGCCAAAAATTTACCCTAATTGTGAGCTTAACTGTAAATAGTCAGTGAAAGTTCACAGCAACCTATAATAATAAATGTTGATGGGAAAAGATGTAAAAGGGAAACAAACTGAATTGGTCCAAACAAAAAGGTTGAGTGATGTAACTCAAGGACTGGGTTCAGATCATGCCTCGTAAACAAGAGACATGTGGGAATGAAAATAATGGTTCAAAACGTGTGTGTCGGAAATCAGGCCTAATTGGTAGGAACAAAATAATGAGGGGCTGGGCTATCCTGCTACTCCCTTTTGGAGTCCTGAAAATAAAAGATTTCTGAGAGAAAATTGGGGATCAAACACAACAATTGTTGACTGACTCAAAAAGAAGATGTCTGCCAACAACCACCGAAGCAAGCTTCACCACCCTGGCTGCCATCCCATCATTTCCTGGGGCAATGAGATCTACCCTCACAGCATTGGGGCTTCATCCTCCTGATCCTGAGAGATCCAGACCAGACCCAGCCTGGTAGAGGGACTCAGCTGACATTGGCATCTCCATCTACTTTGGCTAAATCCCTAGAATGTGAGACTTTGTCACCATCACCCCTCCCCCCCATGTGCCTTTTTCTGCCTCACCTTATTTCTTCTCTTTCCTGTCCCTTGCCTTTTTCCTTCAGTCTAATAAGAGTCTGGCTTACTTGGCAAGGACTGTATATTTTGCAACTGTGGTCTAAGCTGTGTCCAGAAGGGCAACTAAAAGCAATGCCCTAAACAGCCTGACACAGATACAAGATTGCCAGGTCTTGGAATGGCTAATAGAGACCATGTGCCAGGCCTGTGGCTTTTCCAGCAATAAGGCAGCAAGGAAAAGTCAGCCCCACGGCCACAAGCTGCATTTTCCATCTTAGCTGTTGTTCTCTCTCCCCTCTTGTGTGTGTTTGGCTAGGAGACGGGATCGGACTTTAACACCAACTGCTCCCTCCAGCCCGTCTCTGCAAGCTAACGTCTGCTCTTTCCTCCCCAAAAGACAGTTATATAAACGGCTCTCAGCTGGGCAGGGTGTCCTCCTAAAGAAAAAGGGAACAAAGGATGATGTTGAAAGTTCCCTTCCCTCTTTCGCCATTGAAAGAGGCCCGGAGCCACAGAGGTATTTCGGAGCTTCGCTCCCATTTAAATCATTGGGATTTGGGTGCCTAAATACCTGTAAGGATCTGGGCCTTAGGCTTTTTACCTGAGGCCTTGCTGAAAGGCTGCGGTTTCCCCCATTAAAATCATTCAGCATTTTCAACTGTTTTGCCATTATAAAAAAAAAAAAAAGCTGTTCTGATATTTTTGTTTTCAGGGGGATTGGGGCCAAAACTATGTGCCAAATTCGACCCAAATTTGTGTATAATTTCAGTGGCCCAAAAGTGCATTTTCCAGCAAATTTAATATTTGCCAAAAAAGCTTGTACAGTTTTAAAGCCCTTACTGTATAGTACATAGCATTCTAACTCATGAGCCACGTACTTGGCTGCTGTATAGTTCCCTATTATTCCAATGAAATAAACAGGTAGTCAGAAGGAACATTTCAAAGAAGAATTGAATAGCACTTTACTTGTGCTGCAGTACTATTCAATACACAATGTTGTGTGTGTTTTGTGGCTTAGGGCCATAGCAGTCAGCTTTTAAATGGGATGTTTAATTAGAAGTCCAGATTTACTTGGCTGGAACACAGTAGAATATGGGCCTTGAATAGAGAAGTGTGTGTGTGTGTGTGTGTGTGTGTGTGTGTGTGTGTGTGTGTGTGTGTAGTAATAA